TCGTCAACATTTTATTCAAAATAGAAACATACACAGCAAATTATTCATCAGAATCTTTGCCTTTCTTTTTCTTGTGTTTCTTAGCCTAAAATGAATCAGCATAAACGTGTTGTGGATACAAACATATGAAGATGAGAGCGATTTCGACGTAAATTTTCATTAAATTTAATTTACTGCCTTGACACATTAAATAGGTATTATATACACGTCATCATCAAGACATTTGCAGATGTAAATCCAGCGTATCAGATTACACGCCGCTAATTATGTGAGTCATGGAATAACCACAAAACACAAAGCCATTTAATTTTTCACACAGTGAGTTCTTACTCGTTTCTCGGCAGGTGCCATTGCAGAAAGTAAAGTGAATTCTCTCACCAGAAATACTGAAATTGCATAATTAAAAACTACATGAATAAAAGAAAGTATCGTAGGGAATTATTCAGGTGCTTTAATCATAAACGCACGTTGTACGCCCCAAAACAACTGTTAATGAAGTACAGTTAAGCGAGCGTTAGCATAACACATATCATCAGAGGAAGATTTGTTAAAATCACCAATATTTTTTAATTGTGAATACACGCTATAATGGAAGAAATGAGAACAAATTATTTGCTAAAGAAAGGGACACGACGAAGCATCAAACAGTCTATTAAATTAATGACTGAAATGACGCTGGACTGGGCTGGACATCTGATATTTGCCCACAAACAAACAATTAAAGGAGCAGAGTGACAGGTTTGGCCTGCTATCGGTCTCTTATACCAAGGGGTGAGGAGTGGAATGGAAACTTAGCGAAAATTTCTGCTATCAGCTTTCTGGTTTTATAAAAACGAACCTAGGTATTATGAATTTGCTTGTAAACCGACAGCTTTCACTACCGCAGGTAAGAACAAGAGTCTTGTATCATTTCCTTGGATTTATGCGGCGTAGTGGCACCGACTCATTGCTTCTAATAACCTATGGATACGTTCCAGCAGGCCATAGTTCCATGGTATTTTAGTTCAAGGAGAAACGTGTTTCAGCATACGCGAAATAGCACTGAACAGCGACTCGGTTTCGCACTCATGCACTACAAGCAATAAAATATCATGGAGGGGTCGCGTACTTCAGCAATCCCCAAAGAAACTAGGAACAAGGAAACGGTGCGACTGAGCCGAAGTGACAAAAGAAAGCCATTAGTTCATTTTAGAAAATGTTAAATTAAGGGTTCTTGTGAGATTCTAAACGCAGTTCCGTTTCCTTCACAGTTTAATGATGAAAGGTGCATAGGCCATCTCTTCACTTAATTACGATATATGCTAATCTTTCTGTCAATGTCATCAGCCGAGCAAGTGTAAGGCAATCGACCGCTATTGCACACGAAGTTACAGTCGCTAATCTTCGTTTTTCTCACATAATGGTAGCCGCTCATCTATCTCAAACAAATCATAGATGACATTTTGGCGGGAACTCGAACTCATGATCTATCAGTTTCCAGTTCAGCTGCGTACCGACAGAGGTATCATGAATGATTCAGGGCAACAAGTCAGCGATTCAAACAACTAAAAATGAAGATCACAGATGTTGACCATAAGCAGAACGAGGTCATCCGCCGGTAGGCGACTAGACGTAAGGGGGAGGTGCAGTAAAGCAGTCGGTGTAAAATGTAAAATACATTTTTCCCGATTCAACCCGATATCTTTATTTGAATATCAATCATTTAACGACGATATCTAAAGCGCCTCTCACGGTGTCTAGCCCAGAACAGCAGGGTTATGTTTTCGATTTGTTTTCGCATACGGATCGTGGTGCTTGGTCTTGAAAATACTTTTATTCAACCAAATTGGAAGACGCGGTTTTGCGTAATACGCAGTGCAAACGCTTAAATACAATGTAGCCGTGTCCAGATTAAATTGCCTCTAGGTGTCTAGAAGCAAGGAGGAGGTACAGTAACGCAGTAGGTGTAAAGTGAGTAGAATTTTCTTTCTTTACAGTCTATATTATCGTCGTTTCAGTCCGATATCTCTATTTTAATATCAGAATTTGATTAGGTATATGACTTTCAGGTAATTTAAATGAATTACCAATATCGCTTCATCTAATAAATTAAATTAACCTTCGCACATGATAGTCTTAAAGAAAGCGATCAACCAAATTAATGGTCTGCGCACTTAACAGCCATAATGGAGGTTACGGCATACAAATCAGTAACGCTGACGTGGCATTATCAGATTTACACATTTCCATTGATGATTATGAAATACTGCTAAAATTGAATACCTCATATCTAGTGATGAATCTAGGACTACGGATGACAAGTTGTCACTCTGGCCAAACATAAATACGAACTGGAACTTAGTGACGTATTTTTAACGTTTCATTTAAAGTAATTTAAACAATCTACAGATCCACTGGTTTCCATCAACATTTCTCATGTATTTACATCGCTGATCATGCCGTTTAACAGGTGAATCTTAAGACCAGCAAGTGTCCCTTGAGCAAAATCAGTGCTGCTCACTAGTAATATCATCGTCATCATAAAGAAAACCCACAAATTTATACAGTGAACAAAAAACTGGCACTGGTTATGTTATGAACCGGAATATATAAGTAGTAGCATACTTTAGGGGGAACAATAACTTCATCTTCAGAATCATCAGAACTTTCTGATTCTTCAAGCTCTACTTTAACTGGCTTCTTTTTTGATTTCTTCAGAGTAACTGCTACTTTTTCTTCTTCATCATGTTCCGCTTCACCCGTCGTATTCAACGGCTATAATTTCAAGCAATCAAGTAATATCGAAAGCGATTTCAGCATGTATTTAACTCTTAAAAACTGAATTAAAACTTAGTCACAGCCATCAGAAACAAAAACTTAATTATTTACATATCTGTAAAGCCCGTATTACTTCGAATTTTGATACAATACATAATGCTTCATGTAGCACTGGCCAGACAGGATTTATGAAATTCAATAATATGCAGCTGGCAAATTGCAAGACAAATTTTTGGAATTTTCATGTCTGCCGCCTAACGTATCCTGCTGTCATGAAACCATCCAATCTTGCTGCTGGAGAATGCCAACTCTGTTAGAAGCTGCCAGGGTTCAAGATTAAACATATTTTAAGAACGGCTACTGCATTTCTAAACATCTGACAGTAGATATTAGTCTTTCAGTAGATGGTCACAGAAGCTATAAAAGGCTTGAAAACGGCGAGGCTGTAGGAACTTATTAATTCCACAATGAAATGCTGAAAGCTTAAGGCGACAAAGCGTGCCGTGGGAAACACGTTCTCAAAAACTGCAAAGCCAACGGAGAAGACGCTAGTGTAGTGGATAACAGAGGTATTAGTACCTTCAGTCAAGAAGGTTACAGCACAAGGAGTGTTACAATTATCGGTGTATTATATTTTCAGCCTCCAGCGAAAGTGTACGCAAAGGCGTTAGAAAGACGGCACCGTAGAATAACTGACAGATACAAGAAAAGCAGGTTGGCTTCAGGCCAGGCAGATCAGATCTTCGCCTTAGACTGTTGGGGTGGAGAATTTTGGAGTTGTCGGAGAATCGTTCATCCAGCTTACGTGCCTTGTGGACTTGAAAAAGGCCAATGACCAACTACTCTGCAAAAAAGGTGCGGGCGTGGCCGCAAACATATGATCGATGGCCAGTTACTAAGAGTCATCCAATCAGGATATGCTGATACCAGATATGTTGCGTCAGAGTCTAGACCTTTTACTGTTGACACTGGTCTACAGAGGTTACGTTCTGTCCCCCTCTCCTGTACATGGATAAGATATTCAGACGCAGCCAGAGAAGACGAGAAGGTAACTGTTTGCAAACGATCGTGTTTTGTTGGTATCTTTTGAAACTGATCTTCAGTGCTCCCTAGAAAGGTTCGCAACCGAGTGCGACGTTGTATGCATGCTGTGAACGTATTTAAATCGATCAGCCTAGTGCTTCTCGCCTTCCTGCTCATTGGTCTCCTCAGATTAATGGAGAAGCAGTGGAGTAGGTGGAGAAGTTTTCGACCTCGAAGTCGTGTTATCTGGCAATGAAAAATGGGCGCAGACGAAATCGACCGGCGAACTGAAATGGCCAGCGGCGCTCTTCGTGAAATAGTCCGAACCGCTAAGAATAAAGCAGAGCTGAGT